AGGGGTTCAGAAGTAATCATGCCCGATCTGACGGAAGCCTGGAAGTGAGTGCGCGAGGTGGTTATAAAAGGCTCCTACCCCCCAGGAACGAGGTATGCTAACTTTTGCGCTATCTAGTCTATCTTGTCTTTGAAAGATTCTAACTTGAGCTTCGGAGCCCTTACGTTGGGTTCTCCCCTGAGCTCTCTTCTCCTTCCGTTTCAGGTCCCTACCACTCAATTCAGAGGCAAGATCGTTGACAGCTAAGATCGGCCGGATTGTGTATCATCACCACACACCGACCTTATATACACATCCTACCATGTGTTGGGATCATCTCCCATACTTATAAATTGTTATTCATGGGAGATGTTCCCAATGCACGGTGGATGTGCGTGTGAAGCGCCCATATGTGAGGAGCAGATCCCATTCCGTCCCATGTACGGATGTATGTGTGCTCAAAAATTCATTTGTATCGGGACAAAACGGAGAAGAAGCAGACAACCTTTCATTTGTATCGGGACAAAACGGATAAGCAAGCAACCTTTTCAAAAAGCGAAGTGTCAATGTATGGAGCTAACGCCCCTACATCTAGATAGGCGATTTGTACTGCATTGAATTCCATTTATCCACGTCTGGTGCTGAGACTGAGAGAGAGAGAGTATTACAATAAGAAAGAAGAGTAAGAAGAACAGAGCAGCGATGAGAATCCTCTCTTCATCTCTATTTCTTTTGCTAAATTTAGCGTTAGCGGTGGCTTCCCTATCGGACCAAACCTCCGCCAGATTTAGCAGAGATGATTTCCCATCTCACTTTGTTTTCGGTGCTGGAACATCTGCTTATCAGGTTACTTTCTTTCTATAACCTTTGATTTCATTTCTTTCTTCTTTTTTCTTCTGTCTTTTATTTTCGTTCTCTTCGTGTCAGTTGTGTTGTTAAAGAAAAAGAAATAAAATAAGTAGTAGTAAAAAGCAACAAAGGAATTTTTCGTCCATAATTGCAACGATATCAAATGCGTGAAGGTTGAAGGCGCCGCACTTGAGGAGGGAAGAACTCCGAGCATTTGGGATACATTCGCACACTCTGGTCAGTTACTATTCCTCCCATTATTCGCTGTTTGTACTTTTGTGTTAATGTTTTCAGATTTGAATTTAGGATAATTTGAATATTTTGTTGATTGTTTTAAAATTTGATGGAGTGTAGCGTCTGTCAACTCCTTATTAATAAAGAGAAAATGAATGTTGAATCTCAGTCTCTTTCTCCATATGAACAAACTATCCTCTCTCTCTCTGAGTTGTTATCTTTCCTGGCAGCAATCCTTCAACTCAAGGTCTCTTTTCCTGTCCAATTTACCTGAAACAATTTACCTGTCAAATTAAAATATGCAACAAAATTACTTGTGCTAATTTTGAATTTCAAAGCTATTAGGTAAACTTAAGCATGAAGCATGTATATAAAGTTATTCACTTTTTTTTTTTAAATTTTTACATAAATTGCCTCTCACAGCTGGATAAGACAATTGGCTTTTCAAATTGGATAGGTGTCCTTCCTTGAATTGGAGGAAATTGAATGGGGGATTTTGAGTATCACTATTTAATGAGTTTAACATGTGAATTTTGAGTGTAGCTCCGTAATTTTGATTATGGTTTAATTTTGGGTTACCTTTTCCATTGGTTTGTAAATAGTTTTTGTCCAATTTCAAGATGTTGGAGGGGGTTTCATCCAAAATATCCATTACAAAAAGTCATTTTTTTTTCTAAAAAAATTGCCAGATAAGCTTTAAAAACTGATTTCTAAGATTATGAACATCCCAATATCAACAAATAAAGAAAAATACTTGGGTGTTCCAATTATTCAAAGCATAATTAAGAAAAAAATTTAAGATTAGAAATTGAAAACTCTTTTTAAAGATGAAAGAACTATTCTTATCAAATAAGTTATGAATGTGGTTTTTTATTTACAAGGTGCCAACTAGCTAGTTGATAAGGTCTCTTGGTGGTTGTAGTTGAGAGATTTGGAATAAAATCTAACTTGCACCTAGGTTAGGGGGTTATGGGTTTGGGGGATGGGTTACTATCATTGTGTAGCCCCATGGAGCAAAAAAAAAAGTGATTCCGCTATTTCAAATGAGCATACCTTAAAAAAGATTGATAAAATTCAAAGTTAATTCTTTTGAGGCCCAAGAGAAGGCAAATGAGCAATTGTTGGACAAGTTAGAAAATGCTTTACAAATTAGTGACTTTTATTTTTTGGAAAAATCATTAAGAACCCCTGGAGTTTTTAGAAAATCTATAAGAAGTATTTTTCCCATTTGTATTAATGATTTCGAATTTGAATTTGAGGACAAATCAATTATTTTGTTGATTGTTTAATGAGATCAAAATAGGACAAATTGAGCCGTCCATTATTAACTTCTTGCTGAATTGTATAAGATGACAGAAATGGAATTCTTTTATACATCTTAAATAACTACATAACATGTCTAATTTTTTTGATAACTCACAGCGTGTCTAAATAAACATCTATAAATCACAACACTTAATGAGTTGTAATTGATATTGCATGGAGTATTTAGTTGGACAAATAACTACTCTAGACACTTAGAGCTATATGTTGATTTGTAGATGAATAACAATTTACTTAAAATTTATAAGAAATGGCAATAGATCTCTAAGGCTTTTGGACTTTTTCTTGACTTAAACCATTGCCGTTGATTCAGACAATGGTTTTTGGTTGTTTTTTATCAGATCGGGTCATTCATTTGGATCATATGGTTGGACTGTTCAACCCAGGAACTAGACCTAGAACGGTTCCCTATCGGTCTGATTTTAAAAACCTTAGGAATTTTGAATACTATTGACAGCCCATCGACATATATCGTGCTTTGTACGATTTTTGCATTAAAGCAATCCCGGTTCCAGAACTAGTTAGATTACCTCAACCCAACATAAGATTTTGAACCTAATGTTCTAAAAACCAACCCTGATGGTGAACCATTTTTGCTTCTGTAAGTTAGTGGTATGTATACGTATGGTTTATATTAGGTTTAATTTATATTTTCAGTTTTCTATAAACAAATTTAAAGTCGAGACCAAACAATTTTTTTTCCAAAAATTAAGGCGCCTTTTGAACTTGGAATGCTAGATCTCAAAAAATTACTAAAAACAGAAAAAAAGAGTTCATCAATATGTAAAGTTATGGCCTCTCAAAGTTTCAATGCGTTTTAGTTTATAACTCTTGACCATACCTGTTTAGGGGCCAGGCTTGAAGCCCAACTTTACATTGTTTCAAGCTTGGATTTCAGGCCAGGCCTTTTCAAATTTTAGCAAAAGCCAAACTCAAACCTAGCCCATGAATAGATTTAGTACTAACCTGTGGCTGGGTCGAATAAGTCTTGTCATGTATTTGGACAAGTAAAGAGTTTTTGACATTTTGCAAAATTTAGAAAAATTAGTCCCAAAAAAGGAATGAGTGACAATTCAAATAGTACAACCTTTTGGGTCAACAAATGGGTTAAAAACATTGGTTGAACCCCCAAAACCTTAAACCTTAGCCTATCCCAATTCCAATTTAAGGCTTGGACTCGGGTTATAAAAAGACGTTAAACATTTTTATTGTATTTTTAAATGCATTCACTTCTAAAACCCCCAACATCACTTGAATTCTCTTAAATTCACCATAACTTTTCTAAACGTCTAAAATTCACCATCTCAATGAGATTTTATTTTCTAAAACTCACCATCCGTTAGAACACCGTTAAAATTCCTTGACCCAAGTTGTCCACGTCAACCTAAATGCAAGTTTCATGACCAAATTGCCCTTGAATGATGAATCAGCTTATTAAATATTTTTTTTTGATCGAAATGCCCTTAAGCGTCCAATCATATTTCAAAGATTTCTAGGGAAGTGGAAACCTAGGAAACGGAGAAAGACGCTACTCAGAGCCATTCACTCACCAGTCACCACCTCTGATAACATATGGCTCCTCTCCACTGCTCTCAGCTGTTGTTGCTGCTCTCTCCCTCTCTCTCTCTCTTGAAGAAAGACTCCTTTTGGCCGGACAACAACCATGCGTGATGGATCGAACATAATAAAGGGTACATGTACAAGAGAAACTGTTGTAATAATAGTAAAGAGAGCAGATGGAACTTATCGGTAATTGCTTTCCAAACCGAAATTGTAGTGGTGTGAAGTTGTAGGAAGATGGAGGGCTGAGCCGTGCCACTTAGTCACTGCCTTTAAAATCGTATTTGCCCCCTATGGTGTAGCCGGGTGATCGCAAATCGGTTGTCAAGATAAAACAACCCACAAGCCGCTAATAGGCATGCACTCGCTTAACACACACACCCCCAATTCCCCTCACATGCATGGAATATCTATAATCCTCTCCTCCTATGAGTCCCTAACCATAAAGGGAGCAAAACTACAAATATATTCCACTTCCACTCATTTCCCAAGCAATGTAGGACAATGAATCATTCTAAAACAACAGAGGGAAGAGAGAGATTCTTGTAAATTTGAATCTCACTCCAACAGAAACCAGATCTAAAATGGGATTTTCGTCATTTTTACAAGTAAAGGTGTCTAAATTTCAGGAGTGCAAGATGCATAGCTCACAAGTGAGGGTGAAAGGCATATTCGATCCCCAAAAGCTGGTGGAGTACGTGTACAAGAGAACAGGGAAACACGCAGTGATCGTGAAGCAAGAACCAGAGGAGGAGAGTAAGGAAGAGAAAGAAGAAAAGAAAGAGGAGGGTGGAGAGAAAGAGAAAGAAGGGGAGGGAGGAGGCGGAGGAACGGGAGAAGGGGAGAAGAAGAAGGTGAAGAAGCGAAACCGGGGACTGAAGAGGAGACGAAAGTGGAGGTAAAGAAGAATGAATTTTACTACTACTACTACGCCCACCATCCCAAATACGTATACCCTCCTCAGACCTTCAGCGACGAAAATCCCAACGCCTGTTCGATTATGTAAAGATTTGAGTTTGAGAAAGGACCATGGCTACAAATGATACTGGGAACTGGGAAGAAGTATTACCCATTTTCCCTCATTATTTACTATTAGTCGTTTTAATTTCGCTGTCTTGTACATTGTAGATTTCTTTCATTCTTGACACAAGAACGATGCCAAGAGAAACCAGATCTGTTCGGGTGTCTAAATTTCACTTATACAAGAATGAGTGTCTGATTCCGTTCTTGACACAAGAACGATGCTCCCGTCTTAGCGCCCTCCTCCGGTTCTTGTACAGGTGTCTAAATTTCACTTGTACAAGAACGGGCGTCTAATTCCGTTCTTGACACAAGAATGATGCTCCCGTCTTCGCACCCTCTTCTTGCAGTACAATTCATTCTCCTGTCGTCTTCCGCCAGAGATTTTCAACCTCGCTGACCTTTAAGTTCTCAATGTAGCTCAGATATGGTTTCTTATACAAGAAGGATGCCAATACGTCGGTCCTGATATTTTAATATTTACACTCATGCGTGATGGATCGAACATTTAAGTTAAATAGTAAAATGGATCGAGGTATGTCGGTCAAGTTACCGTTATCTCACTGACATGGTGAGTCTTAGAGTTTTGAAAAATTATGATGAGTTTAAGAGAATTCATGAAAAGTGATGGTGGGTTTTAAATAATTTCCCTAGATTTAAAGATATTGGGTAAATTACAGACTACCACCCTGCAATTGGTGGGTGGTGACATTTAGCCCCTAAACTTTTGGATTTCAGCACTGCGACCCCTGTTCTCTTAAATAGTTATATGGGGTTGATTGGTTGAAGGAATAGGTAAACTACTCAATTGCTCATAAATATAAAAAATGGATAATGCTAAAGCACAGAATCTTCTCAGGCAAGGGTTTGGAAGCACAACTAGGAGTGATCATTTTCAGCCTGGCCCTGGGCCCTGCATCAGGTCGACAAATTTCCAGACTGGGCTTGGCCCAATATTTCAGCCTATCGAATCTTGAATGGACTATGGAGCAATTATATCTTCCTAATCAACCCCATTAACTGCGTAGACAGAAAGGTGCTGAACTCTAGAACTTCAAGGGCACAAATATAGGGTAACAATAGTAAGTTATCCTAAATTATCTAAATGTCTGGTTGGGAGGGCCTCAACACTGACCCAATCCGAAGTTAAATCGGTTTCATACTTTTTTACTCTAACTCTAACCTAAACTTTAAATCGATCCGACCATTTTGGGTGGAGTTTGGGTTAACCAGGCCCAAGTTGCAGCCTTAATCTTATACGATAAATTTAGATATTTCGTTAGGAACCACCGTGGTGACACAATATTTTATTGCATAAATGTGGTGTATGGTGAATTTGTAAGGATTGAAAACGTTAAATTAATAGACCTCCCCCCCTATGTTTGTCACACTTAACCCCCTGTACTTTAATGTCATAACAAATAACCCCTTTTGTCACTTTTTTTTTTTTACTTTTCAAAATCCTAAAATGCCCTTATTTACTTTGGAAGATAATTTGCTCTATATCCATTGCAATTAATATTTTTTTATCAATTATGCCCATTTAATATTAAAGAGATATTTCTAGAACTCTAGTCATAATTAATTCTAGACCATTAACGTCATTCCTTAAGATCAATCAACCAATATTGAAAATCCAAGTGATGTACAATGGTTTCAAGTAATATAGGTTATGAGCGCTATAATTAATAATGATACCAAATTAATCAAAATTTCTTTAGGGTCTGTTTGGTTTGCAGCCGAAATCGGAATTGAAATGGTCTATTCCTATAATCTGTTTCATTCAGAAATAAATGATAGTGGAAATTAAAATCAGTAAGAATGAGATTTCATTCCCAAGGGAGGGGCAGGGAATGACCATTCCCTCAAAATCAAATGGGGGAATACCATTCTAGCAGGAATGTAAATGTGATTCCGAACTTCACCCAATTAAACAGTTGGAATCGGAATAACCCATTCTGATTCCGATTCCAGACCCCAATTCCCACAAATCAAACGGGGCCTTAGTTTTCCATTGGGAAATGATTTAGGAAAGCCAAAGAACCACTGTTGATTATGACAAAAGTAAAAGCATCGGTGTTTCTGTTTTTTAATGCATATACTTTTTATATTAAAGACAAGGGACAATGCTCCTTTATGAATGGGATGTACCTAAATCATTCTCCTTGAAAATTAATTTTAGGGAAGATGAAGGACAAAAACAATGGGGATATAGCTTGTGATGGTTACCACAAATACAAGGTATGCTAACCTTTTAGCCCCTATCACTACTATTTAACCTTTCCCTACTTGAGCAGTACGATGAAAGTTTCAATCTAATGCATCTGGCAATTAAACTCAGATCAGATCTGGGTCGGCCTAAATCCAACTCCAGAACAATAAGAAAATACCCTTCAAGTGATAGACCAAGAACCGACTCTACTATTAATTAGGTTTATCAGGTTTGACCAGATAATACCTGATTATAACTAACAGCCTTTAGTTGATAATTCTCTTGTTTTTTTTTTTCCTTTTTTTATATTGCAGGAAGATGTCCAACTCATGGTAGATACTGGCTTGGATGCTTATAGGTTCTCCATCTCATGGTCAAGGCTTATTCCAAGTATGATCTATACATATAAAGAATTCATCCCTGATTATCCAAAAATATAGTAAAGTTACAATTCTTACTAGCACATTCTTCCTTTCCTTTCTTTTCTCTTATTTTAATTTTCATCAGATGGAAGAGGAATTGTCAATCCAAGGGGTTTACAATATTACAACAGTCTCATAAATGAACTTATCAGAAACGGTAAGAGCTAAATCCCAACATGAATATAATAGAGTAAGAGAATTTAAAGGGCGGTCCAGTGCACGAGGCTCCCATCAATGTGGGGAGCGACAATTGTATTCATCCTTACTCCCACACATACTATTTCCAAGATATGAACCCTGGTCACCCAGGTCGCAATGGGGCAATCCAACCGTTGCGCCAAGACCCACCCTCAAATGATCCAAAATCAATTTGTAGATAAAAACAGATTAAATGCTTAGGATCATTGCATCATGTCATACCTTAGCCCAAGAGATCAACTTGAATTTTCTCCATGAGTCATTGGTCTCAATTGCCAGCCTGAATACATATGATATATGCATTTTGCATTTATTTCCTGATTTTTTATATTTAAGCAGGAATTCAGCCACATGTTACACTGTTCCATTATGATCTCCCTCAGACGCTTGAAGATGAGTATGGTGGATGGCTTAGCCAAAAGATTGTGTAGTTTTTCTCACCTTCATACCTCATCTCACTGATACTAGATTAATAATTCATCAAATGTAAAATTGAATATAAAATAATGAGTATGAATGTATGATGATGCCAATTTGTATATGGATGCAGGAATGACTTCACTGCTTATGCAGATGTGTGCTTCAGAGAGTTTGGCGATAGAGTGTCTCATTGGACTACTTTGAATGAGCCCAATGTCTTTGTCTTGGGAGGTTATGACATTGGAATGTTTGCACCTGGGCGTTGTTCTTCACCTTTTGGATTTAACTGCACAATTGGCAATTCAACTACAGAGCCATACATTGTTACACATAACATCTTGCTTGCACATGCATCAGCTGCAAGATTATATAAAGATAAGTATCAGGTAAATCGATAGTCCCTTCCTAACAAACCTTCTAATGACTCGGGTTTCAAATTGTTGAAAGAGTGAAAGTGATGGTGATGCAGGGCAAGCAACATGGACTTATAGGCTTGAATGTCTTTGTTTACTGGTTTATTCCTTTTACAAACACAACTGAAGATAAAGCTGCAACCCAAAGGGCTAATGACTTCTATGTTGGGTGGTAATTAAGTCTCTGCCCACCATGTGTTCACAAAATGAGATTCCTCACATTTCCTATTAAAACTGTCCAGCTAATTGCAGGTACATTGACCCCTTATTTTTTGGAGACTACCCAGCAACCGTGAAGAAGATTGCTGGCTCGAGGATCCCTTCTTTCACTCCAAATCAATCGAAACAAATTAAGGGATCATATGACTTCATTGGACTGAATCACTACAACACATTGTATGTCAAGGATGACTCAGAAAGCTTCAATGTTGATCAAAGAGATGTTATAAAAGACATGGCCGTGAAGCTTAAAGGTAAGCTGACTTAATTCAGATGAACATGGTGCAAATACATGTCAGAGTCGACTCAAACTCATTCAAGTAAACTTCAATTTGAGTGCAATTTAAACACAAAACTTGACTTTTAACTGAAACTCGATTAAAACAGATTGACTGCTTTGACCGTCATCCTTTTGTTGGCTATCCTTGGGTGTAGTAGTCACCTGACTATTCAAACTGTGGTGTTTGTTTAGTGGGTTCTAATTGAAACCATGGAACTTACTGAAACCTTGCATATTCTGCAGCTAACTTTGATGGAGTTCCCCCGGGCGAGGTAATTACTATAAAATTTATATGACTTCACAGACATTCTATCTGAACTAAACCTTGTTATCTGATATTGGTGAGCTTAGTTCCCCATTGATCCATCCGGTCTACAAGGTGTGCTGGAGTATTTCAAGCAAGTTTATGACAACCCTCCTATCTACATTCATGAAAATGGTGCATGATATCTTCCTCCCCTTTTATTCAATTATATCAGAGAAGGGTCATATGGAACTTTCATTAACTGAAAATTGAAGCAATTGCAATCTCTAATACTATTTCTGAAAATTACAGACCATACTGAGTACTGACCCTCATGTGATTGATGACATGACATGCGATCACACTGTGTTCCCAGGTCAAAGGACGTTTCATAATGCATCATTGAATGATACATCAAGGGTGAAATACTTGGACAGTTTCCTTGGCTGTTTGCTACAGGCAGTGAGGTATGTAGTCTTATTATTAGCTCAATATAATTTCAACTCTGACGTGGTTATCTTTCTCTCTCAACTTTTTGACAGAGATGGATCAAATACCAGGGGATACTTTGTGTGGTCTTTCTTGGACTTATTTGAACTGATGGACGGCTATGAGTCGAGCTATGGCCTCTATTATGTGAATCTGAAAGATCAAGATTTGAAGAGATATCCTAAGCTCTCTGCACACTGGTACTCCAATTTTCTCAAGGGAAGAAGCATCAATACTAATAGGATTGTTGAGCTAGATGGCAATTACTCCTCTTCTCAATCTCCAACTCCCCATATTTCTCAGTAATTAGGCTCTTAATTCTTGGGGTAGGTAACTGAAAAGAAAAGAAACTAGGGAGTTTTATGTGGCCTATTTGTTAGGGCAATAGTGCAAAGCCAAATAAGTTATACGGTTTGATTATTTGAACAAGCTCATCAGCAACACCTTTTCAAATTTTAATTCTGACGATTATGAGGATCTCTCTCTCTCTCGTTTGTGGGGAAGAAACAAAATGAAGTTTACACACTTTCAAGTGCTTTCCCAATGTACCTAGGCGTTTATTTGGGGCTTCTTTTAAGTGTCTATTTTGTCAATGATTCCAATTTGGAGTTAAGTTTGAGATCATGTTTCCCCGGTTTCCCCTCTAGTAAACTTTTTTTTTTCAATTTCCTGCTGAGGAAACACTCCTGTAAGGCTCTGTTTGCGACAGTTTCAGCGTTTGGGGGAACTACGTTAACTGAGCCCTCCCAAACGGGAGATAACCTTGGCTGTTGGGAGCCAAGAGCTTATACTGTTGAGAGTGTTTTGGGGCTGGACACGTTAACCCATTCATGCCCATGTCTATCTTTTTGGAGTTTACATCTGCACCCCACAAGGGGGTGCACCACAATGTCCCACATCACATCCCCGCCATGTACTGGGAACATCTCCCGATGATAGTATCAGAATCGATGATGTCATCATCGGGAGATGTTCCCGATACATGGCGGAGATGTGCTGTGGGGTGCAGATGTGAATTCATCTTTTTGGTCAAAAGAAAATATGAGGCAATTACTATTTTACCCCACTCTCATGTATCTGACATTCCTAAGAATGTTCTCAATAGCATAGGCTGTTGGCCCCCAACAGCCTAAATTTTTGCCCAAATGGACACATCTTATCCTGCGTTTTTTTCTTGTGATCCCACTCATTCAACTTCCCATCCTGAAATCAGCCATTCTTTTAGAGAGATCCTGTTTTGGCATTACTTTCTGCTAATACAACTAGTTATGTTTTACTCCATTCGGTTGAAGTGGATAAGCAATAACAACCAGATTCTTTGATCCAAATTTCTCCTTGATAGGATTTAGAAGTAATAGTTGCTGCCAAAAAAATTGTTAACCCACCATCATAATTTTAATCTAGTACCTCCATGGTATTAATTTTGCTAGCAAAAATATAAATAACTTATTCTAAAATTTTACAATAAATAAATGTCATTGAAATATTTTCGAAAAATTTATGATTTACCCCCCTAAAAAATTTTTATTGATTTTCTGAACGTATTATTTCAAATCCCATACCTATGCTAGATTACCCCATGTTTTTGTGATAGATTTCCCCACCTATCACTTTTCCCAACTTAAAACCTCCTGTAGAGAAATCTACAAAAACCCCTTGATTTTTTTTGTTGAAGTAATTTTTTTACCCGATAATTTCAAATTTGCTAAATTATATTGAATCAAAATTTAGAAACTGGAATTGTAAAGCAGTCGACCTGCCGTCCAAATAAAAATATTTAGAAAATTGTGGACATAAGAATGAACGAGGAAATGCAGTTTTTCCTCGGTCGCCACTCGTCAGACCCGCTACCATCTCCACGAACCTTACCTTTTCATATTCTTATGCATATTATGAGCCAATATAAAAGTCAAGTAGATAAATACCCGATAACCCATGGCATGATCTAATTGGCAGAATAATTCATATTCTTATGCATATTCTTATCCACATCAATAGTTCATTTTCTTCCTTTTTTTCGGTAGAATAATTCATGTTTTTCCCTTTAAAACCAAATACCCAATTTAATCAAGATGGCATGATCTAATTGGCAGGTCATCAAACAAAAGGACTACGTCGTCAGCTAAGGATTACCCGTCAGTTCACCACACTATATTGAAATTCCCCCAAATAGCCCTCTATACGCCTTAAGCACACTGCCCATATACTTCAAGTCCAGCTGCTATTGCCTCTATTGAGGCTAGCAGTTAGCACTAAAACCGTGGGCGAGCTTAGCTATGACCAGTCGGGAACAGGGTAGCTCTCCGTGGCAATAATGCTTTTCCAGATAACCAACTTAAGAACAGCTTATGGGGGATAATAAACTCTTGTAAGACAGCAAATACAGTCAGTAAAGGACGGGGCCATTCATTTGCCACTCCACAAAGATATTTTATTTCATATCCTCCGGGCAGAAGTTTGAAGCCGAAAAGTCATCACACAGCCGTGTGACAACCAAAAGATTGTTTTCTGTTTTAGGGACCACACGGCAAAGTTAAGTCTGTTGCGATTTACAGACTCGGGAGCAAGCCATTATATCATTTCTCATATAGATTTTGGTCCTCAGTCATTGGAGTGATGTGCTTTTCATATGAAAGGAAACATCCGACCAGAAGGATGAACCGGCTGATAGGAAGAATTCTCTGCCCGACCTTGTGACGACCTCTCAGATCCATGCCTCTGCCAAAAGCTACTAGTCCTGCCGCCGGAATCTGACCCACCAGCAGCTTGATGGAATGGCCCCCACCAACTCGACTCTCTGTCCACTGGGATCAATGGGAAGGGAGCAAAGCGATCTCTTTCCCATGCATAAAAACGATTCCGTAATGGATTATCTGCATCTTGGAGGTTCCGGCCAGATGAACCTGAAGATGGAAACATATAAAAGGTACCCGTATGATCAGAGGATGAGGCCACAGGACCCACAGGCCGCAGAGCGCTGGATCTCCTGATGCCCGAAAAAATGGGTGCACGCATGCCTGGCGAATTGCCTGGCTGCTGTTGATGATAAGCATGAAGACCCTGTATCCTGTCATGGGTTCTTGCACTGCTGCTGGGATAAGGAGGGACCATCGAGGAAACAACCGAACTTCCAGCCCTGGGACCTGACCTGCAATGATGGATGTCTAAACTGTCAATTTTAATGCATAAAGTGGACAATAATTAATCCAAGAGGGGGAGGGGGTGCATGAATAAGCGCTTGGAAAGAAATTTCATGCCACAAGTCATAATAGCCACTTGTTTTTGCCCCTTCTTTGTGAAACAAAATATTGCTTTTAGAAAAGAAAAAGGCAAATTTTGTGCTATTCGTTGTTATTAATATAAATTTGCATCACTAAAGAAAGCTTTCTTCCACCATCTGGTTATTGTGCTTCTACTTCCAAAAGGGCAAAAGCTTTATATCCAAAGATAACTTTCTTGATTATCAAGACTTACCCATGACCAAGAAGGTATGGGTGCACAAAAGATCCTGATCTTGGAAGAGGTTCAGTGTCACCCCTTGTCGATCTCAGGGTTGAAGAAGGAATCGTAGCTTGATCAGCTCCAGCTATGCGACTGCCAGTTGGAGAGAATGGAGGGGAATGGTGATCCCAACTGTGATAATGGAGATCCAAACCGGGAAAACCATGAGAAGTAGATATGTCGCTTGGTCCAGAGAGACTATTCCAATGATGACTGAAGTTAGGACCCTCAGCCATACCTTCATTGGAGCTTGAGGCAGAGGGCTGAAGTGGTTGGAAGTATGCAACATATGGGCAAGAATGGGCAGCAGATGATGCAGCTGTATGTTCAGCAAATATAGCATGGTGTCCCAATAGGTCATGATCTGCATCAAAAGGTATTCAAACACATCATAGTACTCGGTCAGGAGGCCTCCAGTGAGGTTGTAAAAATAAAAATAAATAACTGAAGTACTGCTCCAAGAAAAGATCAAATAACTTACATGCTGTGGATGGAGATTCCCCCTCCCTGCAAAGTTTAAAATACACATCAAAATGTCAGAAAAAACACAAGGAGAAATATTTAATTCATGAATTTTTTGCAAAGTTGTTTCCAGCTCAAGCTTCCTCCAAACCAGAATGTTAAAATTAAGAATAAGGTTTATTATCTTTGGATGTCCACAAATTACCAAGAAGAAAGTGACTAGCTAAAAGACATTAACACTTTGTATGATACCAGGAGTTTAAATCAATATTCCTACCAATAGGGGCGAGTCTTATGGTACATTCAACAGCGAAGTTTATAAATTACCCCCAAAATTGCTGAACTATTATTTTCCAATTAAACTAGGGGCGAGTCCAAAAAAAATCTATAGTGCATCAATCCCCAAAGTTTATTTTGAGGGAATATTTCCTTCTTTCTCAAAGTGCATCTTGATGTTCTTAATTTTACATTTTCTAAGTTCCAATCTCACTGCCATGGATTATATAATATAGAATTTAATCCTTAAGCCTCCTAGATTTTTCAACCGCAGGGACTCCAACTGCCGGAGAATGATGACTTCATCAGCCAAGGGTACTTCCCTAAGCATCTAAATAAGGTCCCATTTACTAAGTGAGAGGCTTCCTTTTTAATGTCCAGTAGTCCAACTCAGAACAACTTGTGGAAAGTGGCAGCCAGTCAGTTTGCAATGTCAACCCCCACCCATCTTCATCAAATCAGGTTCTCAAGAAAGGGTTGCTGATAACTTTAGGTTCCTTTTTTAGAGCAAGTACTCTTATTGCATGACAGAACAGGGAATGGAATGATCGTAACAAAATGGCATTGCATCATCGGCACAAGTGCCTGTATATATCGGTCAAATTGAGAACATGAAAGAGAACCAAGTAACTGGTCACCTCATGTATTAGGTTAAAATTTTAGCTGAACTAAGAGACATAAAAATATAATTTTAAGAGAAAACATGAGCAGATTTAGATTAGCAATGTTGCATGGACATGGACACAAGTTGGAATCAGATGTCTGCCCAAGAGTCTTGACTGGAAAAGATGAGAAAAACACATATTCATGGATACCTCTATCAAAAAAGTATATCAGAATAATTCATGTATTTTTATATTCTAACATAAAAACACATGCAAACTGGGGGTTTAGAATGTTGTCTTTATTACAAAGATGGCATTCATCTTTTACATAAGCTATTCATTTAGGTCAAAAAAGCTAGGAGATAAAAATACATACAGAGTACCCTCAAGAATCTGTGGAGTGTGGCACTCCAATACAGACAGTCAACCATTTAGGAGATTCGGAGAATCCATGAAACACTGGAAATTAGGGATAGTCAAAAGTGGTTAACAAAAAACACCAAGAAGCAACCATTTCTAAGTTTGAATGAGATGGACTAAACAAAGATTTTGATCATAAAACTAAAGCAGAAAATAGAAGAATGCTTTGGAATGTTGCATACCAGACAAAAAAACAACATGAAAGAAGACGAGTGCAAATATGGGCAACTTTATGAAAAAGAGTGTCAAGAAAATAAGAAACAATATCCCCATAGGATAAGATAAACCAGGAAGTGGAACAAGAAAATACCACATATGAAAATAATGCATTATAGGAACCTAGTGGCAAGCTCATGAGGTGCTCAAGAGAAGGTTGAATAAGATTGTCATGTGCATCCAAAGGCCAAGTAGTTAAGTGAAGACTTCTTGTGCCCAGTCACATCAATTGGCGAAGAAAAAGAGATATATGCTGGTTTCAGTTTTTTTTTTCTTTCTTTCTTCCTTTTTTTTGGATTAGTAACTTACAGAGAATTCATTAACTTGGTATATTTATGTATATTTAAAATGTTATGCTTCCCTCTAGGTGGAAACCCGCATTGAGTCCTGTTTACCCCTCGTCTTCTTCTGATCAATAACACTTTACTTCATTAGATAGAAAAGAAATATACATATTATATAATCATAGGTCAGAGAGAATGAAAAATCATCACCCCCATATATTCTTACGTGACATATTTCTTACAATTGTGCCCAGAAAAATTGTTCTCAACCCACTCCCTGTTTATCCCTTATCTTGCTAGTCCTGCTAGTGTATCTGCCTGTTTGCAGATCAAACAATCCATGTAAAGTGGCTCTCATCTCCCTTGCTCCATCTCACACATGCCCTTCATAATTTCTGAACAGTGAATACTATCCCACTCCTGACATCCCTGAATTATTCATGCTACACCCATCACAATTTAGGGCCTGCTTGGTAGGGTTGAAGCTTTGGCTGGGCTACTTACTTTCACTGAACTTCTTTGGAGAAATCGTTAAAAGAAGCTTGAACAAATAGCTGTATTTTTTTGTTGGGAAGGGGGCTAAGGACAGTAAATTTGGGCTTTCTGGGTTTTGACCAAACAGATTATAGGCTGTCCAGGTGGGGCCCATCTCACAAAGCCAAAAGCTGCTGCGTGAAATCCCTCCCAAATGGACACTTAGTTTTATGTGACATAAAGGTGGTAGGCACCAAGAACATGATATTCTGCTACTTGATGAGGCTGAAGAAGCAATGTCTGCCGTGTCTGTCATCCCCTAATTATTATCATCCACAGATAAAGTTCATATAGAGTTTTCACTTGTACCCAATTTACCCCTCTAACTGAAATGTTTTAATTTAGTGTTTCTTGCGATTGATTTATGATCAAGTGACTAAGAATTCCAGATTGAATCAAGGTTTGAACCAGATCCTAACTTAAGAAGGAATGATCTCTTATTAAGAGTTCTTGGAAACAGACAACTTGTGAAGTGAGGAAGCTAGTGCAGTAGGCTTCTACAATGATATCCAAAGATGCTCCAGACAGAAGTCAAGTTATCTCCAGAGTGTCCTGTCAATAAGAGTGCATTTAGGAATCTTAATTCTGATGACTTTGAATAGTAACAGTGTTTTAAAAGGCATGCCAGAGGCAAGGCACGTTTCAAGGCATCTGCCATGCCTGAACACAGGCACAGCCCCTTAGAAAAGAAACACGCCTGGTGCATCTAGGCAAGCACCTGGTGCAATTGATACATGTGATATGATGTACCCCTTTGTAAGTGTTTATACCTTAGTTCTTGAGAATATGATCTCAAATAGCAAGAATGTAAAATGAAAGTATACATTTCCAAGTCATTGAGCCTTCTTCAAAACTTCAAAACCAAACTACTTGGGTGTCAATTAGAATGCATTTTCCCACTTGTAACAGCACTCCTTTCTGAGAAGCCATCCATTAGATAAAAGGATAGTGGTAATATAAAGGGAAATCCCATGCTATGTTATCTTCCTCTTGAAATTTGTTCGTCCCCTCCAATCAGCTCAAAACCACAAATTTAGAGAAATCAAAAAGAAGATCTGCAATACTCTTCCAAATTCTCATGCCAAAAGAGCCCACAACCTCTGAAGGATCATAGTCCTAAGGTCAATAACCATAGTATGGTAAACCAATTCCCATGGCCTTCACACTCCCTCCATCTGCTACCAAGCCACTATCCAATGGCAGATTGATTTATTACTTTAACAGCCTTGAACTGAAATAAGCTCACAATCTTATTGAAAACCACTCCTTACACAATTTATTAAATCCCCATTGCCCTTTTGAAGTCATTTGCTCTTTGTAGAAATGGTCATAGATATCACAAATTTGCAATTGGTGCAAGAAATACACCAGCAATTCAGAGAGTTCCGAGATTAAAGTAAACTTTCCACATTCTAACAGGCAATTATGCTGATTTTCTTGTGATGCAGCATAATGAGCAAATCAACTCTTCTAATACATTCCCATGCCAGACCTCAGAAAAGGAAAACTTCAGCTTTGCTGTCTTTAGATAGGGATACAACCTAGCAGGCTGGGTTGAGCATTTGATAAAGTTTGAAGGGGCCTAGCCTAAGAGCAATAGCTGATTTGCATGCTCACCTATACTTAGTCCTGAAACAGAACCCAAGGTCCCAAACTCAGAATGGGTACATTTTTGGTATCTAAACACTTCGTGTAGACTACACAAAGCAAACGAGAGCTGAAATAAAGTGGAATTTGTAACCTCCAAAAAGCCTTAAATCATCTTAACCCTACCTTTCATCGTACTGAAAGGTTCAGTAACCAAGATAACTAATAATAAGATAAGAGCATTTCCTTCACAAATGCCTACTTACCTTTGTGAAATCCTATTGGTCAACTTCTCCCATCAACCAAGGCAAAAGGTGAGTCTGTGCAAACAATTACTTCAATCCAATTTCTCCATTTGACATCAACACCCGCCAATATACAGTTATACACCAGATGTTTCAGATACCTACTACTCTCACAACCATTCTTTGTACTTGTACCTTACAAACAATTCCTTAATTCCCATCACAAGACCTAGAGTTGGTGGATTCATTGCAATCAGTGCTTCCTCTACTATCATTTACAAATGCACCTTGGAATGACTGTAATTTCAAGCCCATCACCTTCTTTAGCCTGGAGGCAAGAACTTTAGCTAGCACTATATGTAGTTTGTACACTAAGGCTGCTCTACATTGAAAATCATTGGGTGGGGGATCTGCTGTCCTCACATATACCATCATAATTTCCCATAACGTATAAAAGGTCATTGTAAATCCATCAGATTCAAAGACTTTAAAACCCTCCATCCAGCCAACAAAATTTCCTCTTCTCTTAAGCCATCATATTCAACCTGCAGTTGAGATACAATCAAATACCTTTGATATGGCATTAAAAATCCTGTCAATCAGGACTTTACATCAATTTAGGTGTACTGCAAGGAATGTCATACAAAAACCCCAAAACCATACAATTGAACTGATCTGACAGTACTAGCAATTTGTATGATGATAGCACAAGAAATAGGAAAACCAGTCAATTAACATTCCTTTTTGTTTTGATAAATGGAGAGACAATGTCAATATAATATTTCCAAAAAGGTGAATAGGCAAGCTATAACAAGATATTTACACAGTAAAAATAATTCAATCAACCAGTTAACATTCTTGCAACTTGATAAGAAGAGTAATATATGGGGGATATTATGAATTATAACATCAATTTGGTAATGAAAAGCCAGAAGAAACCGCCAGTCCAGCAAAATATTTTTTGAAAAGTTACCTTTTAAAAGAAAGCTAAGTAAAAAGTTCAAATCTCAAACATTCCGATCCATTTTTTAACTAATTAAAATATTTTATCAAAAAAAAAAGGCAGATGGCTGAACAGCGAATCAGATTACATATCTATCACCTCGTTGCAATAAAAAATGATAGATACCCATCCATTACAGAAATTAGAAGATCGGAGCCTTTCCAACACTTTCAAAATGGACACCAAAGAGACTAAGGTTCTTTTTTATCATTTTTTTATCAGCAGATTCTTTTTTTAATGTTAACAGTAAAATTTTATTGATCATAGAAAAGAATAGAGAATGAAATGCTGACCAACCCAAAGTACTAGACCAGAATAAAGCCACCTAGCCTATTTTTAGAAGTTGCATTATTAAGTTACCCCAAAATAACTTTTTTTTGATAGATTACCCCAAAATAACTATCCCCTATTCACCCCTTGCTTTGTCAATGCATCAGCTATTCCCTTTGCTGACATTGAGTGCAAGAGAAGGTGGCATCTATTGCATTCACCAAATATTTTATCTCCCTCTCAATATTCCTGAATTGCCCATCCCATATTCCTGGATGCTCATTCTTCATCCAGCCTATAGACACCCTAGAATTCCCTTCCACAACCAGGCTCAAATAGTTCAATGCTCTGGTCATTCTTAGGCCCTGTAGAGCAGCTGGCAGTTCCGCTTTTATAAAGTGAGGTAGACAATACACACTGTTTATCCAACATTTTGCTCCTAAAGACAAGATTATCAATTGTCATTGATTTTAATCAGTATATTTCAATTGCCAATATTCTGCTCAGATAAACAGTCCACAAAGCACATCTTATAAGGAATATGCAGAGACAAAAGATACTTCCAACTTCCAATGAGAAATGACATCAAACCCTCCTATCCTCAGATTCAACCACAATTTTAGTGCCTTGTGGAGACAATGAAGCAAAAAAGGTAATAATCAGCTTCCCTAACATTAAAATTATGATGGAATCCTGGAACCTCTCAACAATTTTGACAAACACCAAGATGCAAGACATTTTTTTTTAATTTGCCTCAAAAAGGTTGCTCAACTTTAAAGTGAAAAATTACCCGCCTTTTTGTTTTAAATTTCCAGTATAACCAAGGTGTAAGTCAATTGGCACCTTATTTTTTAAGTCATGCCATCACAAGTCAAATGGTTCAATATGACATACCAAATGTCAACTATGATAACAGCACTAACTTAACCAAGTGGTATTACTTTTAAATGGAAGAATAAAATTGAAGACATTCAACTTTGTAGTAGGATAATAGATGGCATTAAACCTTCTGAAGGTGAACCAAACTGGCCCAAGTATGTTAAAAGTCTAACCATATTAGAAACTTTTGACTGTTCAAAATGACCCTTTCTAAAATGATGGAGAAGTTCTCAATTTTTATATTCATCCACAGTTCCCAAAGCTAAGCATCATCAATAATCGGTTTAGAAACATACTCTGCGCAGAGAATACAAGAAAGCTGAGAAAGATGTTCAATTTGCATATGCAGAAGCTATGTACGTTTTTAGTTTTGAAAGACATCAGGATTATCGGAAAAGCCTCGAGCCCCAAATGTGGAAGAAATAAGGCATCAAATGTTAGTGGAGAAAATAGAATATTAAAGCAAATACTCAAGCTGAATATTGGCAGTATTGGCAGAATCATGGTCAGGCCATCATGAAGAGAACAGACATATAACATGAGATCTGGAGAAGCATTTGGTGGAGGTGAAGGGAAAATAACACAAGAAATTGATCATGAAGCAGGCAGTTAGGGTTATTAGCAAAGGCTCATATTAAGAATTCTAGCAGAAGAATAGCTTATGTAAGCTTATAATTCGCAGATCATGCTTACTCAAAAGATGAAGTAACTCGAGCCAATCCACCGAATGGACACCAATGAACTCCAAATGGCTGCAAACGGACACTCATTAACCAAGGAAAGATATCAGGAAGATGGTAAAACCATAGCAATAATGAATGCATTTATGCACAAATAATCTGTAATAGACAAATACAGTAAAACAAGCCCAATTTAGTAGACATGTACTGATCAGACAACCAGATGCACAACTGAATAGAGAAGAAACTATGATTCCATTTCTTGTAAATTTTTGCAAGTATAAATACACCCCAAAATTGGCTGCATGGAGCATATTACAGCTCAAAGATGAAAATGGGAAGCAGTTCTAGCACCATGCCTCACCATAAATAGCAACCTTTATTTTTCTGCTTACACAAACACAATAATTAACATATAGTTGGAAAAATCAAGAAACAGAACAATACAATCAATTTGGAGCTCTTTCTTCTCTATAAGTATAATTTTCCTGATTGGATGGCTTTTCTATTTGATCAAGCTTATAGTGTAAGATTCTGAACTTGTTATATTTATTGTGAATTTGTGATGGTAACTGATAAAAATTTTATTGCAAAATGAAAAAGTTGACAAGCAAATCTTAAAATCAGCTAGCAAATTGAGAGTTTATACAACAATCCATATAATTGTATTACAGGTGCCCCCCCCCCTTCAAAACGGGTCCCCAATTCAAATTTCTCCTGATAGCTACTTCCTTGGCATTAGAAAGAGCAGAAAAGTTGGCACGAGATATCCATTTAAACAAGATCTTCAAGCTGGATACCAAAAGGAACCTCCCTCATATTACAGTTATAGATCCAAGGAGTTGGCTTTCACCCCTTAACCTCCTAATTAAAATGGTTAAATTCCCTTCTACCTGAATCTCTATATAACCCAAACACAGCCAATCTTAGTACTTGTAAGACAACGTCTAATTCAGCATGAACAGAACTACCAATTCCAATTGGACTAGTGTAAATCATAAGTGATAAAGTTCAGACTTGTGATATTCTTAGGTTTGAAATAAATACAGGAGAAAGAGAAGAGAAGAGAAAACAAAGTCTGGTTCGAACAAGAGAGTTCCCTCTAGTCAGCCAGTTCTACTTATAGCTTTCTAAAAACATTGCACAAAGTCTATTGTGCCCTCACATAAGTTTGGGACACATCACTTAACGTATGATCTACTGGTAACTACATCAGCATATAAAACAATGAAAATTGACTATACTACCCCTCAACAGCTGACTCTAACACTCCCCCTCAAGCTGGTGAGTAAATGTCATATAGTCCCAGCTTATTACATATGTAATCCACTCTTCCCCGACTCAACCCTTTAGTAAACAAGTCTGCCCATTGATTTCCTGAATTTACATATGTTGTGCTCATCACTCCACTAAGCACCTTCTCTCTTACAAAGTGACAATCAACTTATATATGCTTCGTTCTTTCATGAAACACAGGATTGGAAGAAATATGAACTGCAGCTTGGTTATCACAATACAGCTTTATAGGTGTGTTAATCGAGTACCCCATCACTACTCAACTTGACATTCGGATCCATGGGTGTTTCAGCTGGTCTGGCACCCAACAGCTCAGTTTCCTCTAGCAGATCAAGAACATATTTCCTCTGACACAGATTAATACCATGTTTGGATCTTGCTACCTCTATCCCTAAGAAGTATCTTAATTTTCCAAGGTCATTTATTTGGAAGTGATCATGCAACAAGGTCTTTACCTATCAATCCCCAACCTGTTGCTACCAATGATAACAATATCATCTACATATACCACCAATAAAATCTTTCCAACCTGTCACTGACACTGTTTCATGCAAATTTCTTCACCACCTCACTAAATCTGCCAAACCATGCACAAGGAGACTGTTTAAGCCCATAAATAACCTTCTTGAATCTAAACATACAGAGTCAATGTAAAAATACATTCTTGATGCCAAGATGAAACAAAGGCCAATCATACATAGCAACAAGGGAGATCAAAACACGTACAGAGTCAATCTTGACAACTGGGGAGAAGGTGTTTGTATAATCTACACCATACACATGTGAATAACCTTTAGCAACAAATCGGGCTTTCAACCACTCAACACTCCCATCAAGTAAAAGCTTAATAGTGTACACCCACTTACAACCACAACATGCTTACTAGGCAGAATGGTGGTAAGTTCCCACGTATGATTATGAGCTAGGGCCAAGAGTTCTTCCTTCATTGCTTGGTGCCACCCAAGAGAAGTAAGTGCTTCCTAGACATTTAAACAAAAATAGAGGATGATAGGGAAACAAATTGGCGATGGGAAGCAGAAAGGTGAGATACAAAAACATAATTAGAAATGGGGTGAAGAGTGCAACTATGTTTACCTTTCCGCAAAGGGATAGGGAGATCAAGGTCAGAAACAGGGTTGAGGTTGGCGGATCTATCGATGACAATGAAGTTGTAGGAGGATACATGACGATGCGTATACACTTGTCGGATTGGTGGTCATTCAACAGGAAGTGGCACTGGATGCGAAGACTTGGCCACAACTGGAACAAGAGGAATGGGGTCCACAGGAACCGGAAGTGGAGGTGGAGGAAGAATAGAGGCGTCTAGCCCAAAAAAAAAGGAACGGACTCAAAGAACATAACATTGGGACACACAAAAGAACATCGGGAATTGGGGTTGTGTTGTACCCTTTCTGAGAGTCCTAGAATAGGCAAGAAAGATGCACTTAAGGCTACAACTTGGGTCGGGTTAGCCCGAACCCAACCCAAAAAAGCCGGGTTGGGTTGGGTTGAGTTGATGCTCGGGTTAGGGTTGAAATTTATGAACCCGACTTTACTTTGGGTTGGGTTAAGGTTGACCCCTTGGGCAACCCGACCCAGCCTGAACCCAACTCTATAGTACATATTATATATAAGGGTTCAACTATAATATGGAAAAGATATGATATCTAAATAGCCTTTGACCATTCAACTAGAATTATAAACATGGTAGCCAATCAAGTGTTATTTATCAAAATTCATGCATGGGTTTTGATTGGTCAAAACTCTTTCCATACCATGTCTTTCCCACACCATAGATTTTCCCAATATATAAAGATATGTTACATATACGATCATGCATTGATTTGTTTAGATGCATGATAATTGTATAGCCACTACCACATACTATCATTTATTTCATTTAAGAGAATCACTTCACTTAATCTAATTGGAAATACTAAAACCTTGATAACATATTTTTATGTTTTCTGAATATTTTATTCTTTATCTCCTCTCTGTTGTTTGCCACCCATAGCTTCATGCCCATAAAAGATCTATTATAAGTCATCATAATAAACTATAGTCATTTCAAACACTTTTTCCTGAAATTTGTACTTAAAGAACCAATAAAAACATCAACAAACAAATACTAATAAAACATAGGATTAATATATGTAATGAAAGTTAAGAAATAAGATTAAGAAGTTCTACAAGATTTTAAGGGATGGGAAGAAGGTTGGGTTGGGTTGGGTTCGGTTAGGGTTGAAGGAATTTAGTTAGGGTTGGGTTAGGGTTAGGGTTAGGGTTGGCCTCAACCCGACCTAACCCAGCCTGACTTGCAGCCCTAGATGCACTGAGTGGATCGAGCATCTAATTTATTCATCGCAGGCCCCAAGATTATGGACAAAACACACACACCCAAAAACCCTGGGGGTAAGAAAGAAAGGGGACAAAGCAGGAAACTAAATAGAAAATGGAGAATGACCTTCAAGGATAGACATGGGCATGCGGTTAATAAGGAAACAAGATGTAAGTACAGCATCACTCCAAGTGTTTGGGAACATTCATATGGTGCAAAAGGGACCGAGCAGTTTCCAAAAGGTGGTGGTTCTTTCTTTCAACCACCCCATTTTGTTGAGGGGTGTAGGTACACGAGATTTGATGGATAATGCCATGTTGTTCCAAATATTCCTGAAACGGTGTATAAAAGTATTCTCAACCATTATTAGAACAAAGAATCTTAATGTGTAAACCAAATTGATTGCAAATATCACCATAAAATTTTTGAAAAATGGTAAACAATCCACCCTTTTCTTTCATAAGGTAAAGCCATGTCATCCTTGAATAATCATCAACAAAAATTACAAAGTACTTGTAACCATTATATGACACTACTCTATTCGGACCCCGGATGTCCAAATGGACTAAAGAAAAAGCACTCAACACACGACTATTAACCCTAGGACTAAAGGGAACATGATGATGTTTCCCGAACTGACAAGACTCACAATCCAAAGTAGAAAGACGACTCAACGACAGAACAAGTAACTTAAGTGCTTTGAGGGATAGATGACCAAGTCTATAATGCCAAAGGGTTGTTGTCGAACCACCTCCATCAAGATAATACAGTCCAGCAGCTCCATGCCCCCCAACAATCTTCATCCCCGTCTTGAGAACTTGAAAAACACAAGATGAAGGGTAAAAAATGATGGAGTAATTAAGAGACTTGGTCAATTTACTAACAAACATAAGACTAAAAGAAAACTTGAGAACATACAAATTGATGATAGGGATAATGAATCTATGTCAACATTACCAACACCACATGGAAGATGTGGAACCATTAGCAAGAGTAACAGAATGTGATGTAGAGGACTGAGAAAGGGAGGAAAACACATTTGGAGTCCTAGTCATATGATCAGAGGCTCCATAATCGATAATCCAATGGAAAGGTTTAGATGCCAAACAAGTCATACCTGAGTGTGCAAGGGTAGTCGTGTTTTGTTGAGATATAGCTTGAATGAACCGCTCATACTCATCACGTGGGACACTCAACATCTCCTTTCTGGAGGCATCCATAGATGTAGGGGGTATCTGATCAATTTGTTAGGTTTCCTATCTCAAATCACCACCAGTAGTCACTGCATGATTTGCCCAAGTTGAAGGTGGGCAATGTAGATCATAACAATAGTTGAGTATGTCCCTCCATACCACAATGTGTACACCTCCTCGAACCATTACTACGCCGGGCTCCCCCTGAATCTCGACCTCCAATACGACCACCGCCACGGCCAGGA